TAATACTTTGAAGTGAGTCAAAGAGATGAATAGAATTTTCTTGGTCGGTATTCGTTTGAGGTATGACATTTGCTATTCATATGGATGAGATTGCTTTTTCGGCAAAGGGAAAAAATAGTTGGATGAGGCTTTCGTGCGCTCAATTCGTGGAATGTGGGATCTTCGATAGAACCATGGACATTATTCTTCTTGGAGGAAACATTGAAATAGGTGAATTACAGTATGGTGGATAATGTTCGCTTGGTATGCGATGTTCCATGAAAATTGCTATGCTGAAAGGTTCAGTGAGAAATGAATGCAATTGATGAGCAGAATCTGAGTGAGTAGAATTCTCCGGCCATGTAGTGTTTAATGAACGTTGAGAATGTTTCATTTGGTATCGGTATGGTGAAGATAGTACAATGAATCATTGTTGGGCATTATTTGCTAGCCGTTTGATATTTTTTTGATGATGAAAGTCATACTTCTTGTGTTAAAGTAGAGAAATAATTGTATGATGTCTTGCTAGGTACTGTTCGTTTGTTATCATTTTATGATTCATGATATCAAAATTGATGCTCCGAATCTAATTCAATGAGAACGATGAATAAAGTCGTATTTAATAGTGTTGATTTTCTGTGCTGAATAGAATCAATACGTTGTTTGGATACTTTTTTCTCTACGTCAGATACATATTTGAACGGTACCATGGCAATCAAACCTGTAAGTTACACATGTATAACATTTTTCCAAGGAAGTTAATAAATATATTTTTTCTTTCTAGACAGCACGACACACTGGCATCACTTCATTAATCAAGCAATCTCCAAGGACATTAATCAAGCAATCTCAAAGGATATTAATCAAGCAATCTCAAAGGACATTATTCCAGCACAATTTACTTTTTACTTTCGTTCTTATTTTTAGTTTGTCATATTTGCTTCACTCTAATTATCTAACATTGTATATTTCCGCTTTTTATCAATTCTCTTTTATTAGTTTTCAATAAATTTTAATAACCGACCATCATTTTTTCAATCTGCACGGCACAGAACACAAGACTGAGAAAGTAGAAGAATAAAAACGAAAAATGGATACAAAACCATATCAAGATTACATTGAGTTTATTTTGCTTAATGCGACGGCCAGAAAAAGACAAAGAAGCAAACATCGCTATATTATTAAGGACTTTTTATATGTCCTTCATGAAAACAATGGTTGTTACGCATTTAACAATTTTTTTTAATTTCACGGTAAAATATGAGAAGAGCTGCTTCTACATCGAAAGAATGAGACATTGTCTTTTTGAATTTTGATGTATACATATTTCTTTTTGTTCTCTTTATCATTGCTTTACACATAATATATTTTGAGAAAGAGAATATGAAGAGCTACGCACTTTATATTTATGCACAGGATAGTTGTTGGATGCACGTGAAATAGATACGATTTTGAATGATCATAATGGGTCGTTGAAAATGAGTGAAGAGGAGAGAACAGATTATTTCGATAAGATTGATTACTCATCGAATAGCATGTGACTATAGGCTCGAACAAACAATTATGAATAATATTAATGATCAGTGCTAAATAGAGAGAAAGAGTGGGAGAGTATGCCCAAAAATAATATGTATGTAATATTGGTAAACCATCTTATATGTGATGTCTTGGAAAGCATTAGTCATCGGCATCAAAGAGCAAGATGTGAATAGTTAAAATGAAAACGAAGGATACAAAATTAACAATATATTAAGATGTTGGTGATCAAGAATCGAAGATCTATTCAAGCTATGTGCATTATCTTTTATTCAATTTTATCACAATTCAAAGCGATCAACTGAGAAAGAAAAAGATGAATAGGTAAAGGATAACAGAAGCTTGATAGTTTCAAATAAAAATAAAAGATATTATAGTGCATAAATTATCATGTTCTGTATTAGTTAAACAATGTTTTGACTCAATCAGACTATATATTTCATAGTAGATGAAATAAAAAAATGATCATATTTGTTTTTACAAATTCATATCAATGATGATACGATTGGCTATTGTTCAAGTTTAGAAGTCGGATGAAAAGTGTTGAAAACAAACTCAATATTGTTATTTACTACGAAGAATACCTATAATAGAAGATACGTTGCTTAGATGATTCCAATGATGAGATTGATTTAATCTTTATATGACGATAAATCGAATAAATTGGTTTGTGTCTGTTTTTTTCTCAAATAGAAACATTCAAATAAGAACACATAAAGTTTACTTTTATTTTGGTTCTTCAAAGACATTTATGATTTATTTTCTTTATCATAATATGTAAGAATGATTAGATCTTTATAAAAGTTACGATTTTAATCAAAGTTTCAAGAGCATATCAATGTTTTATAGTTTATTATTGTGCTTGGTTTTTTTTTCTTGAATAAAACTTCGACATTGTACAAAAGTGAAGCAGTTATTATCAATGAAAAACAAAACATGTACATATCAATTTAGTGTCTATACTCACGTGTAGGTAACAGAAGAACGAAAAGAAAAAGAAAGACAAAAGAAAGAAATCAAAAGCATTTCTGTATTTGTCACAATTATACACAATGAACAATAAAGAAAGAGAAGCTATTATAATAATAGGTAGCAAGCAAAATAAAAATCGTATTAATTCGAACAATGGTATGATTTACGTAGCAAGTTTTGTGATAAAAAAAAAGAATAATAAGTGACTGATACATGTGCAAATTTTATTCAATATTAATGAGTGCGAGTGTCATGGCCTTCAGCCATGATATCACACGGTTATATCCTCTGAGTCAGGACTCCTTGAGTCATCAGCACGAGATGCTTGACGCAGTAGTCTTGACTCATGGAGATGCATATATGTGATGGAGTTTCGTGAGACAGGTGATCTTGAGCATGATTATATCAGCCAGAGAGAGAGGAAAAAAGACAAAATGAAAACTCATTGTTTAATAAGGGCAAAATTTTTTGAAAGGATATAAAATAAAATAAATATATGATATTCTGATGTTTTTTTCTTGTAGTATTATCATTATGAGATAAATATTGAACAAATAAATACAATAATAAATAAATTAACTAATTCATCATTCATATCTAAGTTTATATTTAAAATAACTGAAGCAATAATAACAATGCAAGAGCTTAAACAAAATAAGTAAAAATAAAGAAGGAATCATGTCGAATCATAGATATTGCTAAAAAAGAACATGAAAGAAAAAAAAAGAGAAATATATGAATTATACAGATTATATGGAATATAACAATTGGACTTATTATAAGATATAATGTATATTATTCTATTATTGAAAAAAAATCGATGATATTTTCACGTTGTTGATTTATTAAAATACATAGAAAATCTTTGCAGTTGCATCTCAATGAAAATAGAAAAATGAATGAAATTATTCAAAAAAACAAAAATCTCTAGTTTATTAGATAGAGACTGTTCATTATTCGTTCTTAAAATTTTGTGTTACTTTGATTATGACTAATTTGTCATTGAGTTTCTCATGCTGATAAAATGTATGAACGAAGAATAATAGTTAAAATTGATTTAAGACTATTTTCATTGTTTTGTCAAAATAAAACAAACATTTTTATATCAAACTCTTACACTTCAATTATATATAGCTTATGATCTTTATGAAAAAATGAAAATGCTTCATGGTATTGACGTATTTTATGGAAATCATTGAATATTGTTTGAGTTTTTGTTTTAATCAAATCAATATAAACATGACATAATTCTAAATGTTGAATAAAGAAAAAACAAATAAAAATAAGTTCTTTTCTTTTCAAGAAAAAGAAAAAGAAATGAATTATTTTTCCATTACTGATTTCAATGGTCAAGCTAAATATCGTAATTTCTATGATAATAGGATATTCTTCGTTTTATTTTGTCTTGTGTTTGTGTATTAGCTAATTGTTTTTCAAGATTATCAAGTTTAAATGATATGTTCATAATCTAATTGAATTTTTTCTATATAATTTACAAAAACTTTGCATATGATATACATACATATACAATTATTTCAATCAATTCTTTTAAATAACTAAAAGAATATATGATAGAGTATGAGACTTGTTATTTTTTAATATATATAGTTAAATGGTAAATAACATGAATGATAGTTTGCAATATACATATATCTATTTATCGTTTTTTTATTATTCAAAATACAACGAAAAATGTATATATATATAAATTATCATTCATGCTATTTACAATTTAATAATATAACCAAAAGAAATTATTTCTCGATCAAGTTTTTTATTTTTTTTTCAATAAGTTTATTTTTATCAAGAAAAATGAAAATTATAATATGTTGTATTTAAAAATTTACAAAGCATTATCTTTATTTGATATTATTTTTCAATTGATGTGCAGTTTTAGTTCAAATTTCATCAAGATAGACTTTAGTCTAATAAGAAATAGCGTTTTTTTGCTGAGGCATTTAACAAGAAAAGAAAACTCATATATACCCATGTGGTAATTCGTTCGAACAGCCATGGTTAAATTAGCACATGATTCAGTTATTTTAGTATTAAAGAAAAAACCCAAATGACTGTATATTAAAAAAGAGAGTTTGATTTTTATATATTTCAATAATAATTATATTATACTATATTTGCTTTGTTAGGCATAGTAGTTTTTTTCTTTACGTTTGTCAACAATTTGAGAATATAAACTAAAATAGTTTAAAAGAAATAAGAGATTTATTTGAGGTGATTTTTTTAAATAAATCAAGTGCATTCCTAACATGCAACATAAAATTCAGTAGTGTAAAATGTGAAATCAATTGAAATTTTCCAGAATTCAAGTTTTAAGTTTGACATGCATGGATGTTGGTAAGGGGATGTGGGTGTGAGTTTGAAGTAAGATCAGACTCACACCCACATCTATCCACAGTCACACTCCACAGCCAGAAACTCACGTCCAATTATACCTGCGCCCACCCACACCCACACCCACACCCCATAATTCAAATGATGATGATAATGACTGTCTTATGTATTATGATGATAGGAATTCAAATGAAAGTGAATCTGATGATGATATTGTTCTTGATGAAAAATCTGTTGAATTAGCTTTGAGAAGTTTACCATCATCACCTGAACGTGATCATGTTAATGTATTAGAAATATCTACCACCTTATGCTGCTCAAGTGCTAGCAACAATAGTTTGTTGTAAACAATTATGTTGCCATGTAAAAAGGGTATTTTCAATTTTATCTAATGACAAATATATTTTTCTTAACAGCTTTCATCCGTATTTCATTTAAGTTAGTTGGAATCCTAAGCTGAAAGCATTAAGAAAGCCAACGATCAAACAAGAAATAATTGTTCGATGGCTCACAATGTCACAATTGCTCGAAAGTATTCTGTCATCATATTCAGCTTTAACAAGTATCGCAGGTGAGAAGGGTGCCCTTCACACTCTTCCCACAATTGATGTGTCAACTGTAGCTACTATTATTGGTTTATTCTTACCATGGAAAGAGGTGATCGAACGTTTACAAGCGACTAATACACCATCTCGTCATCCAGTAGTTACATCTCACTGGTATCTTCTCGAAAGTCTGGTAGTGACGAAGGATGAAGTAGCTGATAGAGCAGCCAAAGGTAAATCATTCTTAAAAAAGCAAGTCAGTAAAAATCTATCTTTTCTGCAGGTGTTGTCTTCTTTAAAAGACATGCACGACAATTATTAAAAGCAATGTTCTCTTTGCACGATCTATATTGGATCGCTGCAATACTCAATCCACATACAAGAATGCTCAAACATGCTACTGATGTTGAACGTGCACATGCATATTGTCTAGTGCGAGCTAGAGTAGCTAAACTTATGGAAATGGCACAGATTGATAATAATGAAGAAGTATTATCTCCAGCAACTATGAGTCCAACATCACCACCTCACAAAAAGTTGAAGTCCTACGCAACACAATTTCATGATGACACAGATTTAGATGAAACAAGTAGTAATATGACAATTGAAAAACATGCTCATCGTGAATTAGAAATCTATTTACAACTGAATTTAACTAATTGTAAATGTTTAAATGATGATATTGACAATCTATTGTTGTTCTGGAAAGAACAAGAACATGTACTACCGAATATGTCACGATTAGCAAAACAAATTTTTTCTATTCCTGCCTTTTCAGCTGCAGTAGAACGTGCATTCAGTTCAGCCGGTATTGTCGTACCACAGAGAAGAACCAATATCAATCCATCTATAGTTAATGATATTATACTTATTCGATCGGCTGCAGCTTATTTGAAGACCCACACATAGACTCTACTTAAGTTTCTTTTTTGTAAAAAGTGATTATTTATAAAAGGAATGTATTATTAAAAATAAAGTATTTGATAAATATATTATTTCTTCGGCTTATACCGGGGCGGGGCGGGGCGGGGCCCGTCGCAAGAATGGCGAGTCGGGCGGGTCGGTCCAAGAAGCTGGCTGTGAGGGGTACGGGCGGAGCGGGCATAGATTTGCCGGGGCACAGGTGAGGCGAGGATTCTCATAAAGAATATCCACTGGGGTCCGGGTGTGACGGGTTTGTGAATTTTGCGGAGCGGTCCCGCGGGGCATGGAAAAACAATGCCCCGCACATCTCTGGTTTAAACTAAAAAGATTATATTAAGATAACTGGATAGTCTAGTTGGAAGTACCTACCTCTCAGTTCGCAAGATGTTAAAACTGCATCCTCAGTGAAATATTTGATAGAGTTATAGAGACAATTGCCATTTGCAATGACATCAATCGGAATCATATTTTGAACATCTAAAGATGTGCGCTGAAGATATAATTTGGCTTCTTGGTATACCTTATGAATAACTAGGTTGAAATAAGTAATGGGTGCAAGTCTTATCAGTGTTAAAAGCCAGTCCATCTAAATTGCCGAAAGAGACCATATGACTATAAACCTTTTTTGCGAAAACTTACAGCCCCGATTTGTCTACAAATAGTCTTGATTCGATCATAATAGCCGTCGGCAGTGGATGCCTTGTCAAATTCCATTAAAAGTGTCTTAAATATTTTAAAACGATTTGTTTTTCAACAATTTAAACAGCAAGAAGGTGTTGTCAATTTAGAACAAAACAGACCTCGGTGGGTGTGAGGTTTAGATGTGGGTATGAGTGTGAGGTGTGAGTGTGAGATGCGGGTGTGGGTTTGTGTGGATGCCCTCATAATGCAAAGACACCCACACCTGAAACGAATTCTCTACCTCAAGTTTGGGCTTTGCCAATACGTAAACC